CCTTTTTTGTACAGATTAAACAAACCAGATAAAAGATACATCTGGACAGAGACAGGCTAACTGTTTCCTCCTATTTCCAGCCTTTATGCTAAGTTAAACTAGCTATAGCGTCATATTTACGGTACAAAAATGAGAGTGTCAAACTTCTCTTTTAACTCTTTTAACTCTATTTCCCAAAATGTCTTCCACAATGTACTGAATCACAAGTATATTGCACAGCATACTGCTCTACAAACTGGACTAGATTGTGATCTAAGTGGTTTCGTGGGTTTTTCTAGTCTTTTATGGTAAAAACAAACAAATTGTTGCTCTTCCTTTATGGGAAGGGAAGTGGCAGAGTTTCAGTTTAAGCAATCAGATATGTAGCTGTCAGAAACCTTCGTAACCACAGCAAAGATACAACAAGACAAAGCCTGAGTGTGAATGTGGAAGAAGATGACGGGAAGTCTCTTAAGCGAAGCAAAACCAAGAACCAAATATGAAACAGTTACTGTCTCGTAAATACGCTTCTAAATACAATGTTTTTGGCTTATTTGCCATCAAGTCTAAAACAGATCATTTAACACTTCTAAGCAGTATATAAATTGTTAATTTGTTTATAACCTACTATAATGTAGTTGTAAGAAGATACAATTCATTAAGCAGTGTATCTTTGCTACTCACTGTCACCAGTTGTATCTCTACCAGTTGTAAGTGCTTTTTTCACATTTTTTGTCATTTAAATTATTTATAGAGACCTGAACTAATAAATTACCTAACAACTGTCAAGAATAAAGCATTAGATGAAAGTCCAAATATGCATAATATGGTGTAGCAGAAGTGTGTTTTTCTCCTTTTACCTTTTCCTGTTTCTTGCTAAATCATCTCGTGGCTCATCAGATTTATCTTGACGCTCGGGCTGGTAACCATTACCTTGCAATATAACCTGCTAAATCATTCAGTAACCCGATGACTACTGCACCCCATAAGCTGTCAACATGTTGGTCAGTCAATGACAAATTCTCTTGCATTAACTGGAATTGGCTCTTAATGTAATTTTGTGATAAGAAATAAGAAGAAAACAGGTGTTAAAGAAAAAAATATTTCAATATTTATTTGCGGTATAAACATGTCTTGTGTTGTTTCCATATACTGTACAATACATAGGGTCAATCGTATATCCTTCAGAGGACAGAAAGGTGAAACTGCCTCGGTTAACATGCCCCTTGTTTTTATACACAGACAGATTGCATCTTTTTTAAAAACTGTTTACAGCACAATACAAAACAGCTATTCAACGTGTGTTTGAAGCTGTAACACGATGCAAGATGCATTGTCAAAAAAATCCCTGAAAAATTCCTCATTGAGGTAACATTTTGAAATCATTCACTTTTTCTTTCACTTTGTGTTTTACGCCGCCACCACCTCTCCTCTCCTCTCCTCTCCTCTCCTCTCCTCATGCTCAGTCATGTCTTACCCTCCCGAGCACATTCTTACCAAGATGTAGCTACAAGTTTAAGGACACAGAAACTGCCGTTCCCGTGATCTGGCAAATTTACAAACAGAGAAAAAGACTTGATTTCTCTTTCATTGTTACAAAGACACAAAAACACAAGAAAGCAGCTTGAACTCAACCATATTCTTTTTAAATAGAAAAGCTCCGTACTGAAATATATTTCAATCCTAGGGTGCAAGTGATCAAGTCCTCAACATTTTTCTTATTGTAGGTGGGATACAACTCTCAAGGGAAGTCCATTCAAGCATGGTAGTATTATTTTCATCTCTGATGCTATAATAGGAGAGGAACTTTTGCATATAAATTCATAACATATATATACTTAGATATATATTCATATTGAAAGGCCACAGGAATAGCATAGAGCACATTATATCAAAACAAGACAGAAAAAGACCTTGTAATTATTTAAGCTGGGTGGTGTAACTGTCTATTGTGAAACTTAACTGGCATGCTGAACCACAGCTCTGGCTGTGTCAAGCAGTGTGTGTGTGTGTGTGTGTGTGTGTGTGTGTGTGTGTGTGTGTGTGTGTGTGTGTGTGTGTGTGTCAATGAGGGCCTCTTTTATGTTGGTAATGGGCACACTGGCCCTACATTTTGGACACCCCAGGTGAAATGTTACTTCAGTCCACAAGCCATAATCGAGCTGGATCTTGTATAATCATATAGAATAGATATAGTACAAAAGAAGAAGAATTTAAAAATTTTGAGGTCTTGGATCTACAAAATACTGCAAAAAAGGTGTTTTGATATATTGCAGAGTAACAAAGAGGACCTCGTGTGACCCGTCACGGTTAAAAGACAGCTTGCCATCTATTATTACCATGTTCTGATTCAAATAACAGATAACAAACGTTTCTTTTTTTTTTTTTTTTTTTTTTTTTTTTTACACAATGTTTTTTCTAAAGTGAGATACAAAGAGTATTGAACAGTCAGCATTAGAAACAAGTTAGAAAGATTATGTAAGGCCAGCTAAAACCAACCCTGTTCAGATTCAACTACTGTCCCCTCTGAAAACCTGTTCTTTGTTTCTGTTTTGACCCCGTCCACATTTCTGCTTTGAAACAAAATTTCTGTAGTTGGCAATAAAACACTGGGCCTCATGGAAAAACCACTCTTACAAACAGATTCGTTATCGTCACGCTTTAGTAATTTAAGAGAAGTTGGATTTAGAAGCACTTGTAGTTGATTGAAACATCTGCCTCTCTACTCAAACAGAACGCTTGTTTGACTTATAATTCTTTGAGTTTAAGGTTTTTTTTTTTTTTTTTTTACCTTTTACGGGCATGAGCAGTTTTGGGTTGACGAATTCGCACTCTAACAGCTGCCTCAGCGTCTTTATGCTGCTCACTTTCAAGCCAAACATCCCCTGTTTCACCGGTCAGTGAATATTACCTACATTATTATAACATAACATTATTCTCTCCAATGATATTCTCTATATCCACTGCCTCACTTTTAAAAGTCAGGAACCACTTTGTTTTGGCAAGATGTTTTTTGGCATGTAACTTCATATCATATCTGCAATGACAGTGAAGACAATTGTAGTAATAGCCTACTTCTCTCTACTTTTTGGGTCCCCTTTGCGCTACTATGTTTTGGTCTGCTGATTTCTGACAGAAAAGTCCTCAGTGTGAACTTCTGCTTTTTTTTAATCATAGTGAAATTTTTGTGAATGAAGCTTGCCTGCGAATGGAGCGGTATGGTATCCTTATATGGTAATTTTTGTGTTAATTATGCTAATGATCACAACCTCTGAAAGTGTACCTACTCGTGAACATGTGACATTCACCAGGTTGACAAACTGTTTGTGCATTTAGGAGAGGTTTTCTAAATCCAACTTGAAGCACTTGTACGAACAAACTTGCACTCTTGCATGAGCCCCAGTGTACCTACAGATATTGCTGGCGTCCACGTGCTGCAGTGTCGTTTCACCCCTAACAGGAAGCCTAAGTTAAAACTACAATTATTGCAGCAGAGGGGGCGGGGTTTCAATGTTTTGAATCTTAAATTGAATGTTTCTGGATTTTTTTTTCTTCTTCTAATCGCTGCAGGATTCTGTCATTTGTTTTTCTCCCAGACTTTTCAAATTCATATTTAACTCATTGTTTAAGTGCTACTAATGTGGACAGGGTCTCAGAAAACTCCCTGACCACATGCTGAGTGCCGCTGTGTTCAGCAGCAACAGCAGTTAAAAAAACGATCCTCATCATTCCTCTTCCAACCTGGTAAAGCAACATCCAACCCGTGGTTACGTCTACTGTTAGAGAGCATACAGTACCACAGCATGCTCAGGTATACAAAATAATATGGATCTGTTTACTATTAGCTCTATAATATATATACATATATATATACATATGTATATATATATATATGTATATACATATGTATATACCAATTTGTGTTTAATATATCTTTCATATAATATACCCAAGGCTTAAGGGTGAATCAGACAAAATTTTCTTTGATGAAATGGGTGATCCCTTCGCAGAACGACCTTCCTTTCCATTTTCTCCAATGCAGTTAAGGGACATGATGCTATTAAGTAGCTAAGTGCAGTCTGTAGCTGAGGCCAGTCCCAGTCCACAACACCAGAATCCCAACACAGAGACCAAGTTACAATCACAGTCCCTTGTCCTAGAATCCCCTTTTTGGCATCTATCTGGGTCCTAAAGGGAACATAGGATAGGCCAAGAAATCCAACAAGTTCCTTTTGGGCAAAAAAAGAAGTTTGCAATGTAGTTAATAAAAGAGTGCTGAGGCACTTCTTTGCTCGAGGTTGCTAAGATACGGTGCCCAAAAAAGTTGCTCAGAAATGTTAGCACTACCTTTGTATCTCCACCGCCAACACTGACCTCTCATTCAAGTCTCTGCCTCAAAGTACAAAAGTCAGAGCTGTTAGAAACCAGTTTGGCAAAGCAGACTAGTAAGACAACACGTTGTGACGAAATAATCCAGGAAGCGAAGAGTTTAACTGAAATGAAATGAATGACTAAAATAGTCATAAAATCTTAGGCAACTGGATGAACAGTCATAAGGGGAAGGAAGCAGGAACTGGGAACTTGTGTCTGAAAACAGCTGACCAACGTCAAATCTACTGTAGTATCTTCACCCATCAACAACCACATTTCAACTGACAACTCCTAGCCCTGTGCCTGGTCTTACCACTGTCTGTCTTAGACTCTAACCCAACCCTGAACCCTGAACCTCGTCCTTTGCACAGGGCCCAGTTCCTGCTCCCTCCCCACTGCGCGGTGCAGCTGTTGGGACTTGTCGCAGCCTGGGACTGGCCTCTCCTCTTTCTCCTCCTCTTCTCTGAATGTCTCTTTATCTGCCTGCTTCCAGCACTGGCTCCAAGTGCCAGCAAGTCAATGGCTACACCACTGTGCAAACTGCATTAGGTCATTACAAACCTAAAAGAAAAACAAAACTAAAAAAAACGACAACAAAAAAAAAAAAAAAAAAAAAAAAAAAAAAAAAAAAAAAAAAAAAAAAAAAAAGAAGACAACTAGGAATATCATAACAACTTTCCTTTGTTGGTGTCGCCACACCCATTCCCCTTCTTTAGTTTTACAATCTCTTAAGCCAGTATTGGATTGGATTACTTTGTTTTTGGACAAAGATAAGATTTCTATGCGTATATATATTTATATAAGGTATAGATTTGTGCGTAAATGTACACAAAAATATACAAAAATGCATATAGACATACTGAATTTGCCCATACATTTTCTGCTATGTACGTTAACATACATACAGTACATACAGTACAAACATACATACTTTGTTTATGTGTGTGCGCGCATGTGTGTATGTTAATTCCTTGGTTTTTAAAAACTCTACATTCAGTAGAGCGAGATTTCCTACGAGTAAAACCCAGATTCTCCACTTGGCACCAGTCAGCTCAGCTCGAGAGCCGAGACAGAAAGACAGAGAGGATGCTGTCGTCTCACAAATCGAGCGCTGTAGATTTTTCCGTGTTCCTATCTTTGTATGAAGCTGTCTGTCCTGCTGCGACCTTCGCTCAGTTTCTCAGTCAGTTAAGTTTCCTCTTCTCCTCTTTGTTGCAAGAGAGGTTGATCGGAGCTCTTCCCCTAAATTCAGTCAACTCTGAGGAGGACACCGTCGTAAACCCATCTGTCAGTTCCCCGATCTGGGTTAAAAAAACTCCCCCTCCCCTATAACGTGGCATCTGTGACCTCCCCTGTCCCTTCAACGCTGCTCCGTGGCCAGGCTCTCAGACAACGCGCCTCGGGAGGCTAAAACATTCATTAAAACCGGCTGCTCTCCTCCAGTGCAGCCGCTTGTTACCATTGTAACAACATCATCTTGACCCCGCGCCACAAAAAAAGGGGACAGTCCCCCCTCTGATTTTCATGTGGACTCCAGCGTGTCCAGTTGAAACACATTGTGATTGGTCGGGGTGGTGAAGAAGAGCTGGTCGTGCGTCGGGGAGGTCGAGTGGTTGTCGCAGGGGCTGTTGAGGCCCAGCGTCCGCTCAAAGTCCAGGAGCTGGCCCATGAAGTTGAAGTTGGGGGAAATGTTTGACTTTTTCCGCTTCACAAAGTCGTAGGCGTCGTTGAGCGACAGGTTGAGCTTCTGCATCAGGTAGGCCACCGTGACGGTCACCGAGCGGCTGATCCCGGCCAGGCAGTGGACCAGGATGCCGCACTTTTTTGAGCGTGCTTCGTCTGTGGAGGAGAGGGAGTGACGGAGGAGGAGAAGATGAGAAGAGGAGAGAGGAAAGCATGAGAGAGATGATTAGACTTAAGTGGCATTTTCATCCATATTAACATGGAAATGTAGTATAAAGAAAACAATTAAAGTTTTCAGAAGGAGTTAAGCTGCTCTGTCAAGTATAATGACCGGAATCATTTAAAATACAGTTCCAAAATCAATCACAATATTTTCCAAATATCAATATAAATCACAGGCTGGCAAATATGCAAAATTGTCAAAGCATTGAACTGTGCTGTTGTTCGGTACATAAAACCAAACTCTTCAAATGTGTAAAACAAAGGGTACGTGTAGCTTAAAACAGTAATGGTTGTAAACTGGGATCTTTTTGGACTGTTGTCCAGATGGAACAAGACAGCTGAAGACGTCTACAATTCCATGGAAAGCCAATAAGGAACGATACTGAATAATCGCCCAGCCCTAATTCAACATGATGCACCATAAATCGCAAGCATCCTCCAACGCAAAATATGACAAAAGCAAATTTGATCTTTCTTTCAAAAAATAAAATCATACTGTTAGTTGCACAATCCAGGATAACCTTTCTCAATGACAGCAGAAAGTCATCGTTCATTCTGCTTTCTAGCTCTCAGTCAGTAGAAAAAAAACTGAATAAAAAAACATCTTACATTATTAACAGGCTACATCCATCCACCTTCTATCAGTTTCGAGCCCTTGCGCTTGCATCACTACAGGCCATTAGGGTGAGAGTTAAGTGCTTCTTGCCTTTCTTTCTTCCTTCTTTTTCTCTCTCGCTCTCTTTCATCCTCTCCTTTGTCTCTCTCTCTCATCTCCTCACTCGCTCTGCCTGCATCTCTTGTTGTAGGATTGGGGTCAGTTGGCTCACGAGCTCAGGCTGCCAAGCGGAAGCCAAATTAAATTTATATGTGATGTGTTCTCGCTTTCCGCAATAAAAAAGGGGCCAAAAATCCTCATCAGGAGACTCAAGCTCAACTATACAAGGCTCACAAGCGGAATAAGGAACCAGAAGTTCATCTGAATTCAAGTGAACTTCACATTGTGAAGCATTACATCGCGTTACTTGTGCTTCAAATACATAATAATGCAAGATCCTTCCATTTGTCAGATGTTAAAATACTAGAATATATCAAATACCCTCCTTCTCCACATTCTTGAACAGATTAAAAACAATGATTTCAGATATTTAAGGAATCCACAGTTTACAACAGTACAGTGTAAGATCACATCTGGGTCTCCCTTTCAGCCCGAGCTTCTCTCCTTCTCCCATAATTACCCTGCTGTTACCAAAAAGATCTGATGTAATTCCTGCACATTACAGCCAGCCAGACAGCTCCATTTAACATCAGCATGACCCAAATCTGCCACGACCTCTGGCTCTGGCATATGTCACACTTCCTCCCACCTAGGCAGACACATTACTCCGAAAAAAAAAAAGTCAGGGGTCTGGACAATCTAAGACAAACATAAAGGCTTTGGCACTGACTCATCAAAGGGAATTCACTCATTCTCCAGGAGTTAAGTCAGAAGAAATGATGGGAAATACTGAAACTGGGACGAGATGATGCAGAAAACTGGAAAGCAGCTTTAACAGGAATGAAATTCATGTGGCTTCGGTATGACCTCATTCTCAAAAAATCCATTTCCATGTTTTATTCAAGGATTTCCTTTATATTTTGTGTGGTTTTAAAATCATATTTTACCAGTAATGGTAAAATAAAGGCGGCTGATGTGTTGCTTAGCAAAGCACTAAATTCTGTCAAAAATCATTTCCACGAAACTGTGAATTACGTGAAAAAGACACATTTTTCCTTGTTTTTTGATTGAAATTGTGGGTAAATACAGGCAAAGTGAATAACGATTAGTCAATTAATCGATTAGCTGATTGACAGAAAACTAATTGCCAAGTACTTTGATAACTGTTTGTCATTTTTAAGCAAAAAGGGCCAGAAATTCACTTGTTTCTTCTTTTCAAATATGGTTCTCAAATGGTTTCTTCGTTCTCTATGACAGAGAACTGAATCTTTTTTAAGATGTGAACGTGTCCTGACATACTATGATGTGCAGTTTTCACTATTTTCTGACATTCTTATATACAAAACGATGAATCAATTGAAAATAATCGTTAGTTGTGTCCCTAAAGTTACAGCTATTTTGATAATCAATTAAAGATTTAAATCATTTATCAAGTAATGGTTGTTAAAATAAGCTATTTGAAGACATCAGCTTGGGCTTTGGGAGAATTTGATCTGCGTTTTTTTTTTTTTTGACATTTTGTTGACTAAAGACTGAACACCAGAAGAGGAAAACAAAAAAATTGTACATATTTATGCTACACAAAATGATGCTGTTTTTGTTTCTTTGCTTTTGTCTTGTAAATTACTGAATAATTTTCCTTCTTTGGGAAATGATTCAAATAAAATCTTTTGGTTTAACCGGTCACAACTGGTAGACATGTACAACTGATGCTCACAAGTAGACATTGTTTTGTTTTAAGGTTTGGATCTGATGTAACAAACATTTCATTGATTAATTGAAAACATAATCCAGATTAAGATAATGAAAGTAATTATATAGTTTAACTAGAGTTGAAACTGACTGTTCATAGATAGAACGATTTCTATATTGTTTAAGAAAACTATCAGCAGATTAATCAATAATCAAAATATTGCTGTTACCAAAAGGATCTGATATAACGCCTGATGTATCTCTGAACATAACATAACATTGACTTGAGCACTCTCCACCTTTACTCACCAATGAATGAAATGGCCTCGGGGAAAAACTGCGAGAGGTTCTGGCTCCAGTGATCGGAGATTGGGATCTGTTTGTACTTGAAGTCGCCTTCGTGTTCGAACATGTTGGGCAGGTTGGGCGTCACGTTGAGGATGTACTTGATATTATACTTGCTGAGCACATCCAGGTTGGTGGAGTCTTTGGCACAGCCCAGGTAAAGGTATGGCAGGATCTGGACAGGGAACGCTGGCTGGTTGTTGGGGAGGGGGCTGCCCTCTGACTCTGTGGCGCTGCCCGGCTCGCGGTCAGATTCCCCGTCAGAGCAGTCTGAGCTGATGCGGAGTCCTCCGAGACCAAGGACAGAGGCTGGTGGCGAGCTGCTGGGACAGGAGCAGTCCAAATTGGTCTCACAGTGCTCTGGGTACTCTGACTGGAACTTGTTGAAGCCCCCTGGAGGATAAGGAGAAGACCAGAAAAGGTCAATATTTGGTGTACCTTGTACATAAATACCCACAGGGCAGGTTAGTGTGTATGTGTGGCAAAATGTGCAATTCAGCATCCACAAAATGGCAGCTGGATGTCAAGTCTGCATGATGCCAGAGGTGGATGCTGAACAATAAAAAAAAAAAACCTTTTGGATTTTTGAAACACAATGAATAAGTGAGAAAGAAAAGAAACTATCAAGACATATATAAAAAAGACAAGAATGGTGGTAAATATTAAAGCAAAAAATTTAATACAGAAATCTATTAAACACATCTTTTACCACAATAAATTAATTTTCTAATGACATTATATACTATACAGTGGTCAGATAGAAGTGTAGTGGAGGCCAAATGAAATCACTTTAAACACCTGTTCTCACATGTATGACATATTACATCATATGTCATGTTAAACTTGCAATCTATATGATGATATGGGTTTATAATTGAAAACAAAAGTGAAAGATAACATGAGAATAACGTGATATTTACGTCATTGTGAATAAGCAAACAGGCTAGACAGATGTGCGCCATTGAGAAAAGCTGAGCCCCGGGGAGAATCAGCAGCAGAGCAGGACAGTCAGCTCTGCTACAACACAGCTCTGCTCTGCTCTGTGGACTTTTTGTGAATGGCAGCTCGGATTGTGACACCGGTGAAACATTTCTATGATATTCTATAAATCAAATACCCCACATATCTTATGATATCACCATCTATTATATGTGTGTTTTATGATTTTACAAAGGTTATACATCTCGTTTTCATGCTGGAGGGTCATACAGAGCGCGTCTCCTCGTTTCCCTGTTCATTCATGAAAAAAAAAACGCCTGTCTTTTCCTGAAGGAACACACAACATGGCGGGGACATTTTTTTTTTTTTTGCAGCATTTAATTGAAAACATATTTGACCAAGCTCTTTAAACTGAAGCACAGGACAGTGATGAGGGTTTATTTTTGATAGTAATTCACGCTATTTTTATTTTATTTTATTTTTTTGACAGAGAGAGGATAGAAAATAAGGCCATTTTTATGTCGGCGATAAGAGAACGAAACTGCTCTGTCAAACATCAAAGTTCATTTAGAGACTTCACACCAGCTGCTGTGTTACAATATATCTGTTATAATAACTGTAAGCATAAAAATATGCTTTGTTATAGGCTAATACACTGTCGCTGCCTCATTATGATACATGAATAATAAATAACAGACTAACTTTGGTAGTCGGACGATAACAGCTGCATTTATTTGAAGTGGCGCCACACTGACACTTAAATACCCTTATAGAGACTTCTATAATAACGTTTTTTTTTTACGAATAAGTCTTTTATGATGATATTCTTCCGAAATAATATAAAAGCAGCCAGAATCTCAAGCGTTGTCCCTGACAGCAGACATCTGGAGATAAAATCCAGTAAACGTATCCGTTAAATGAATCATCCCATGTCAGGATTATAATATATTGTTGTTTTAGCATGAATCGCTCACTGTGGTGAGAGTGACACAATCCTCCTCTAATTGGGACAATCTCAGTTAATCACATCAGAGTGAAATTAAACAATTTGTCTTCCTACTGGACTCCGGTTTGACAGGAAAGAGTCGCTGAGTTTTTTTTTTTTTTATGAATTAAAAGAACTACAACACACAGCCAGACCCTCAGATTTAAAACTAAATAGAGTCTCATCTTACCCTCCAGATAGAAAGCCTTGCACCCGTCGTCCCGCAGCTTCTGCAGGAGCAGCCCCAACACGGAGCTCCCCAGTCCGGACTCCTGCCGCTCCGAGGTCGCCTCGTCGTACAGAACCACCACGTCCGTCTTACACCGCTTGACAAATTTCTCCTTGTCCTCGTTGTTGGGAATGATGGAGCGGATGGGGAGGTTGCCCTTCTTCAGCCTCCGGAGCATGAGGCCCGGGATGGCCAGGTTGATGGCCGACTCGATGTGCGAGGACTCGTACAGCTCATGGGGTCTGCAGTCCAGCAGCAGCAGAGAGCTGGCCCCGGACTCCAGCTCATCCTGCAGCCACTCCACGCTCTTACTCGACATCATCATCATAGTCACGATCACAGAGCCTCTCCACAGATGATTAATTTTCATCAGGGAAACGTTAATCCGCCTGTCCCCTGCTGCGACATGAAAAAAAACACTGAACAGAATAGACGAAAAGAAGAAAATCACGGCGCTAAACTTCCCTTCCCGCGGCCGCCACCACCACCACCGCCACCGCCGCCGCTCCTGCTCCTGCTGCTGTTCCTGCGGGCGCGCACACACACGCACCCAACACACACTTCCACACACATCCAACACGCGCGCACCGATGCCCCTCTGGTTGGAGCAGGAAACTTGAACATGCAGAGGTTTCTTTCCCTCCTTCCTTCAGTCCGATAGAAGAAGTGGAGCTTTCATTCCAGTCCATCGACGTCCATTTGTCGAGTCCGCTCCAACTTTGAGGCGTCCGCAGACCAACAAAACGGCCCAAAGAAGCCTCGTTAGTGTCTGAGGATGACTGTGCCGGATGAGGTGCTGTTGCTAAAGCTCATGGTTATTGTTATTATTTGACATGCTGGCCCATGCAGCGCCTCTGGTTTGTCATTTCCACTGGATGCGTTAAAGAGGCTCTGCGGGCTTGTCACTGAGGAGGGAGGAGCGGAGAGATTTAAAGGTGCAGAGCTGCTAAAGATTCACAGGCACTGATTTCATGACTTACTATCCATTCATTGATAGTCTGTACAGTGTAGTCTACCTTTGAATAATACATTTGACTTGGGATGGTTAAATCTGCAAATGAAAGTCAGAATTTGATTTCTCTATGGTCTCCTGTTGCAATGGTGGAATGTTGCAAAGTACATTTACTTAAGTAGCTACTCATTTTAATAATTGTAATTTATTTTTAAAATAATTTTGAGGTTGAGAAAATTGAGAAAATAATCAGGACATTATAAAAAAATGATCAGTGGTCACAGGCCTATATAACTTAGCCCCACCTCAACCAACTAACAGTAAGCTGTGTTCATTTCTGTATGAGTAATAGTAAACTAATGATATTAGGGGACATTTTGCTGCATTAAGTACTTCTACTTTTAATACTCTAAGTATATTTTCCTGATTATACTTACTGACATTTACTCAAAAACACTTCTTCTAGAACTGGCCTGTTGTGTTATTGGTACTTGTAACCTTTTATTTATATGTTATAGGGCTGGGCAATTAACCGAAAATCTATCTTAAAAGGGCATGTTACTCCGCTACTCATTGACCTACACTGACTACCCATGCTACCCAATAATGCTTGCCTTCAGAGTGACTTCTTGGTCTGTACCCATACTTGAACTTAATCATACAGGCTTATGCTCCTTATCACCCCTGTGTTCCTCCAAGTAATGTCATCTGGCATTGCCACCCCTGCATATAAGGCAATTGCAGTCCAGATTGTTCCCACTGGTGGTTTCCCGATGGTGGGACAAGCTACCAAATGCTATCAGAGCAGGGGCGTCCCTCTCTGTCATGTAGAATCTCTTGAAGACTCATCTCTTCAGAGAGCACCTCCTCTCCTAACACCTTTAACACCCTAACATGCCTAACTAGCACTTACTCTGCACTTCGGTGCACTCCTCTATAAAATCTCCTTGCACTTAGTGAATAGATGCAGTACTTACACCAAGGTCTGCTACTGCACTGAAGCTTTAGTGTTGTCCCTTACTTGTAAGTCACTTTGGATAAAAGCGTCTGCCAAATGAGTAAATGTATGTTCATTTTTCCCTTGGTCTCCACACATCCTTCACTCACTTCTCAGAAAAACATCCTCCTTTCATCCACACATCACTTACAAATCAATTGCTGTAATTCCTAACTGAAAATTGTCTTTTGCGACTAACCAGACAGAACTAATTCAGTAACAAAATCACTGACACATTGAGACATATTTCTGAAGTGTCTGCAGAGAGTGTGATGTCTTTATCCCACAGCAAAAAACCTGAACCAAATTTTTTCTCCTGTTTTTCCAGGTTGACTCACAATGACACAACAACAGCTGCCTCACACTGTATATTTTAAGAAGTTTTGTTGGAATTTTATAGATCTTGGCTAAACTCTTTTGGAGGCCTATGACAAGTTGGAAGTGCCTTCCTCTGATGAGCACATGCGAACAAAGTGCACATGAAGCAAAAAAGAAGTGGCTGCAATGTGATATGAAGATAGGTAAAGTGTTTCTTCCTCAGGCAGCATTCAGTTCTCAGGGCATCAGAATGACATCCCCTCTACAGCGGTCGAGCCTGTGGAGCTGGTAAACAATTCATGCCTTTTCCATTGACTCTTTCGCAAGACATACTGTATGTTTGATAACACAATGTAATCCAGATCATCTAGTTCAGGGTCAGGTAGTCGACAGTACAGCTGCAACTACCGCTTTTGTTTCATCATCAAGTATATTTGTATGTGTTCAATCTATAAATGTCAAATAATAGTGAAAAATGTACATCACATGTAGTTTGCAGTTGCAAACCCAAAGATATTCTGTTTACAATCACACTAAACTGAAAAAGCAGCAAATCTTCACATGGGAGATGCTGTGAATGTTTAGCATTTTTTCTTGACCAATTACTGAAACAATCAATTGATTATCAAAATTTTCTATCCACTGAACAGTTATTTTAGCAGTAGTTACCTCTGTCCTCCACTATTCATTCTGTTACATTTATCCATGATTTAAAAAAAAATCCTATTATATAAACAATCTTGTGTAAATTGTTTCAGAAAAGCAGCAATTCGTCACATTTAGAAAAGCAGTTTGGCATCTCTATTTGATGAAGTATTTTAAATGATTCAGAGATTGTACAAATGGTTGTCAATTCATTTTCTGTCACTCATTTATTCTACTATATAATAGCTGTATATACTGTGCCCTAACCAGCCGTGACATTTATACTTTGTAGAGTCAGAGCCATCAGTTAATGATGACAGTAATTTCTGTTTTTTTCACATTTCTTTCCTCACATTAATGCCGGGTGTCACAGTGATGTTATTTGGGATCTTTTTCTAGCTATTTGTAACAGTTCAGGTGGTGGTGTAACTGCTGCACTACACAATCCATCACTGGGTCATCACTACGTTTCACCATGAATGACCTAATAAGGCATCAGCAGGTTGCGACAGAGGCGGAGAGGGGGAAAAGAGGAGTGTTTGATTTCCTCACAGCTGCAGAGAGGAGGAGTGGGGGATGCACCAGCTGCAGACAATGGCTCTTTATCCCGCCCAGTGACTTACACACAAACACACACACTCACTAACAAAACGCAGACACATACATACATGCATACACACGAGTACACAAACAGACACACACAAACTTTAGGCCTCTTGTGTTTCAACTCCCTTCATGGACAACAACAGGCTCTCTGAGAGAGTGTGTAGCCACTCAGTGTGTGTTTGTGCGTCTGCTCTCCAGTAGTAAACAAAACTATCATCACTTATTTTAAAACTTTTATGAGCAAGGAAATTAACTTTACTCATGATGAAGCTCTACCAGAGTTGGTTGGAGGTATCGTGGACATCGAGAAGATGACCTGTTGCTTTAAAGGCACAGAAAGGCAGAGTGATAGTAACGTCTCAGTCGCAATCTGTGTCAGACACACAGACTGTGTGCAATATAAATTTTGGGGTATGTCGGATTGTGTGATGAATCATAGTGCTGCAATAGAACTGATTCAAGCAGACACATCTCATCAACTGCCATTATTCATCTGCACTACTCTCATGTTTCAAAAATGTAGCAAAACAATGAACAAGCTTTGGCACTGGCAGTGCTGTACATCAAAAAATCTTGAAGAGGAGGAGGAGACTGTGAAGCTGGATCACAGCCAGGGAAAAACAGGGCATCATGACACTCTGATTTTGAAAAGTGAGCTTGACAAAAGCATATTTTTCAGAAGTGGCGTTACGCGAGGTCACCAGTGTATTCTGTGTCATTTCATCTCATACTCTGATTAGTTGGTTTGCAAACGGAACAGTCACAATGTTGGATTTGGCATGGATGTATTTAGCAGGATGAGTACGATGTGGACACAGAGCTGCGCTGTCAATTTGCCCCAGTGGACAACCACAATACTACAACAACAAAATCCCTGAGGCTCGAAAAAGCATTTTCCCCATAGATCACCATTGTAAAAAAGGTGTTTGTACAACATTTGACAACTGTAAATGGTCAATTATTACTTTTTGTACAAAAAGTGAAAATGTGCTCAATATCATCCCAATGTAAAGTCTATGGAGTGAGCGTGATTTTCATTCAAATGAATAAGTGAATTAACATCTTGCAGAGAATCTAAAACTGTTTGTCAACTTTCATCTGTGACTTAAGTTCACAAAGCTTAAAGAGGCTTTACATCCACTGAAACTTTGTTTTCAAATCTTGAATTTTTTTGTATATCCTTAATATTTACAACCAAATATGGAACAATCAAAGTTAAAGTTGGAACAAAATTGTCCTTAGGTATTATTTCATGAGAATTTAATGTCAGCTAATATGTTTCATCAGACTGTGTGGGTGTAGTTTATAATCGGATTTGAAACAGTCATCGCAACATTTTAATTCAAATATTGCTGAATGGTCCCCGGAAATATGTGACATCATTTTTTTTCCCCAACTGAGCCCCATCCTCAAGTGTTAATGTGGGGCCACATCGGTCAGACAGTAGCTAGAAGCTGAGTGAGAAAATACATTTTTGGCGTCTTTACCTCGTATTTCTTCATAAATGTTGGGGGTACCAAGAAGCATGAGTTACATAACCAAAGCAGAATAAGACAAATAAGCTTATGTGAAGATTAGGATGTATTCACCACTATCTGAACAACAAAAGACATGAGCTCATCGCCAGATTTACTCACCAATGTGAGTCTACTTGCTCATACATGTATCAACAGTCTTTAATCTGCCATTAAGGCAAGCATAGAGGCTTACAGATCGTCTATGCACATGCATTTCCTGATTCACAATACCTCTAGTCTGTGATTTCAAACCGTCAACTTTTCAGAAAACTGCCCTCCTCCGTACACCACTGCTCAAGGTTTTTAATCAGCTTTATTGTTCTCATATTGAAATTAAATATGAAGAACAGCCACACAAAGAAATATGACTGTATAGTATAACCTATTCAAACAGAAAAGCAATATATGCAATATGAATCTATTTGCTGTTGACACAGAGAGCCATCCTTCATTGGTGGAAAAAAAACTCCTCCCGCCAGATGGAAGAGCCTTCAATTCCATCTTAAATCTATGCTCCAGAATGGTAATGTAATTTTCTGAAGCATGGTGTTGAGATGAGCACAGAGACCTGAAACTGAGCTCCCCTGTCTGCATGAAGTGTTGTTTCTCTGAATGAAAAGCCACATACCTACAATATTACACCAGTCCATGTAGAACGCAAAAAAAAAAACAAAGGACAAAGATGAATCTAAGATTCTTTGGGAGGTGACGTGTTGTCTTAGCAGGTTGAAAGAGAAACGGAACGGATGAGGAGCAGTTTTTATTCCTCAGTAAGAAAAGTCTATAAGACTTAACAATTCGGACA